TCATACGACAGTTTTCAGATTGTGTGCATTTAATCGATGGCATATGAGCCCCCGGCCTGCAATGCATTATGGTATTGCAGATTTTACAAAAATATGCACAAATCCAGCTTTGAACAAAGTCCCACTTGGGGAATATACCGGGAGTGAAGTGAAAGTTGCATTTGCACTATATATTGATTTGTGTACTCCATCAAATTGGACTCAATGTCTTTGCAACATATGGAAAATCAGAAATATACTCTGTGTCCATTGTAACAATTGACTAAAAGGACAAGATACAAGCGGCCAAAATGAGTTTCCTCTGGAGAGAGGCAGCTCCCTTGGAGATAGATGGAGCTCAGAGTAGATCCACTGCTTCTCAAGGTCGAGATTAGGTGGTTTAGGACGTCGGTTTTCCAGGAATGTGTGACCTGGAAGAGATCCCTGAGGAAGTCATTGTTCGAAAGCTTACACACCTAAAAACTGTAGTACAAGTAAAGAGAAATGTGTTCTTTGCTGCGGCAACCCGTCACTGAGAAGCTTGAGGATTGGTCATTGTTCCTGTTATGGGACGATGGGATAAACAAGATTGTCAAATCGATCCACCCACAGCTCAGTTCACCTGCTCCCACTGTTGCCTGCTGTAGTTGTGTCCCTGGGCAAGACACTTAACCTCACTTTACCCGAAGCCCCCGTTGAAAGACCAAGGCTGTGTCTTTGATGATGGAGAAGCCATCTTCCCATGGACCCACCACCTTCAGGACGATCGGCGAGGGGCTGGTGTACTAGCTCTGATTGCCAGCCCCAGACACAGATAAACTTGATGGTTGCACATAAAAGTATTATGCAAACGCCATCTTGCTGCTACCTTATTTTTCTGGGTTGGAGAAAAAACCAACAGCAAAAACCCATTCAAAGTAGAGGGTTTTATTTCATATTGATCATCATCCAAACATCATCACAGCAAAGCCCTCTGATTTACACTCACGTCACTTTTGTGGTAGCTTTCTCAAGCATTTGTCCGCCAGCTCTGTTTAGCTTTATCAAAAAATACATTCCGGTGAATCGTTCATGTCAATCTTGCACCTCAATAAAAGTCGTAGCACAATTCACTTGGGGAATAGACCGTGCCGTCAATAACAAATAAAAAACATACACATCCCGATGGCAAAAGTCACGAGTGTCCAATAGAGCACAACCTCGCTAAATATTGATCTCCGCTTGCTTCTTTTATTATTTCCCTATAGATGTATGTGTTGGTCTTGGCGCATCCGGGCTGTACTGTAAAATACCTTGAAATATTGTTGTAGAATCGTTCGAGGAAATGCAGAGGGTAAAATAAAGCCTCTGGCAGTACAATATCAGCAGCACAGTAACACTTGACCCCAGCTCACATATCCAACTGGAACTCACAGTAGCTGCGAGCAGGAGTTGCCTGCAATGCTTCAAAGTACTTATAAGAAATAGCTCTGCTCAGTTCAAAGTTCATTGTAAAGTTGTCATAAAGGACCATTGGAATCGTTTTCATCCATATATCACACACTGGCACCCATATTCTTCCATTTAAATGTATTAAATATGCTAGAATCTGTGATGTGTATATTGTTTACTGCTAGCTTTCTAATATGAAAGAGATAAAAATTAAATAGTTACACTAAAAAGCACACTTTGTTCAGTTCACGTTTTCCAATGTCTACAATATGTGGTCAATACAGTTGAGTTGGAGACTCATATAACCCCTAATCCTTCTTCGTTAAGGCCAGACTTTGCATCTTGTTGTTAGAACCGGATTTGTATGACTTCTGAATTGTAATTAAAGACTCCATCACACATCTTTACTATTTTGACTTATTTGTCGTCCGTAAAAAGAAATCCACAACTCATTACACAAAGTGAGCGATATCCAGCATTAATATTGTATAATGTTGTTCAATTTTCTGACATAAATGTATGTGAAATCTTCAAATGACAGCATGATGCTCTGGGACAGTTACCATAGTGATATTCCCCACCTTGATTGATAATATAAAATGTCCTTTTCTCAAATTTTGTCTATGTTCTTGTTGTGAAAAATAATTTTCCTTTAAACCAGCGACAACCATTGCTTACCACAACAAGCTCTGATTTTTACTTCCTTGGTTTCAAGGAAAGAGGCGACAGTGGCTCAGTTGGGAGAGCATTGGCCCTTGAGCCTGGAGGTTGTGGGTTCAAGCCTACCACGAGACCTTCTCCAATGACTCCCACTGATTACTGCTTCCGTTGTGTCCTTGGGCAAGACACTTAACCCCACTTTGCCTGAAGCCCCCGCTGAAATATCAAGGTTGTGTCGTCGCTGACAGAGCAAATGTCCTCCTGTGGACTCACCACCTGCAGGATTACCAGTGGGGGACCGGTGCTATGAGAATTGGGTGCAGCTCTGACTGCCACCCACAAACCAGAAATGGATTAAGGGGAAGAAAATGGATGGATGTTTAAACAATTTTCTGCTCTACAAGCCTCCTCCTCTTTCGTGGCTAGGACTCTCCTGAAAAATAGATCCTAAAATCTCGGCAGGACAGTCCCGGTTAAATAAAGGTCAACACCATATCTCATGTTATCCCAGAGTTGGTGTCCCTGCAGGGTGGGCCTCTTCACAGGGTGGGAGGCCTCACACACTGATGTTTGTAAGGGAAAGTAATGTTGATTGCTTTTGCAAGCAATGGGAAGCCTGTGCGTGTGTGGTTATGTGTTGTACCATCGGTAGTGTACTGTATGCTATGTGTATTGTTTAAATGGACTTTTTTGTATGGCATTGTGAATACATTTCCATTGTATGTACTCTACATCAGTGTCTCCCAACATTTCAGAACTGTGGCACACCTTTTTCATAAGATAAGATAGACTTTATAGTTCTCATAATGGAGAAATGTACATGTCACATTTTGCATAGGATCATTCAAGGTGTGCAAAAAGACAGTAAATGTGCAAACGGGGAATGTGCAACATGTTAAACAGTATTTTGCAAGATATTTCTTGTGTCAAATTAAGATACCTTTTACCTTTGGGCGGCACGGTGGCTGAGTGGATAGCACTCTCGCCTCTCAGCAAGAAGGTCCTGGGTTCGAATCCCGGTCGGACCAGGGCCTTTCTGAGTGGAGTTTGCATGTTCTCCCCGTGTCTGCGTAGGTTTCCTCCGGGTACTCCGGTTTCCCCTACCGCTAAAAATATGTCCAATAGTTCTAGCATGCGCCTCCTGTACTCTCCCCGCTCCCATCTGTGTGGAGTGAGAGACAAATGCCCAAAAAATTAACAATTGTAAACCGCTTTGAGACTCAAATCTGCAGTGAAAAGGCGGTATATAAATAAATACTTACTTACTTACTTTTACCAAATTTGAGCATGTTTTGACTTATTTTTCATCACTTTTTTGTAGTGTACCAAAGGGACTGTTTTTTTATGAGAGAGGGGTTTAGTTTTGACACATGTTTTGGGAGATATATGACCTTATGCAGGTTATGCAAGGGTCTTTGTCATTTTGATGGCACTGACGATATACAAAAACAAACCATGTTTTTGAGGAATGTGAGAGTTTTTTGGAGAGATATGGGATTTTCAAAGAGAACTGAATTGTTTTGTTGAACAGTGTGGAAGTGTGTTTTGAAAAATGATCTTAAAGTTTTGAGAATGCCATTCTGGTTTAAAGAATTGAGCCAAACAAACTGAATAAAACTGTTTAAAAAGTCTCCCAACTCAATAAACTCCTAACACAGCTTTCTTACTTGTTGAACGTGACACAGCCTCTTTAGTTCTGCCTTGTCTCCTGCTGTATCTCCACAAAATTGATGTATCCACTATGGAAGCTTGACGTTTAGGGGCTGGGGGCTCATTCTCTTTTTGTCAGGAGGAACAGTTAGACGCCGTCGAAGATAAACTGAGCATAACCAGTGGTGTCGGCCCGGGCCAAGGTCAGCTCACGTGCAGCGTCACAAAATCAATAGCTTTGTCTTGTTTCTGGAAGGAGGTCGCGGTGGGCTGCTCCGCTCTCTGAACGGAGTCAAGTGGAGTTACTCTATACTCCACATCATTTTACCATCGATACTCTGCGGCTCGCACAGCAGGGGCGGACGTACACGCAGGGAACATTCTGGCATGTGGACTGAGCGAAGGAAGCAATTGGGACTGGTCTTTGTGTGTGTGTGTGTGTGTGTTAGCTTAATGGCCCTGTGTAATACCCCTTTATTCATGATGAGCTATATTTGAAGATATATGGAAGATTCAAGAATGTATTTGCCATTTGCCGTTAAAACCACATTGGACAAACTATGGAAGACTATCCCGGTGTGCACCAGGATACACCAGAGCTCTTTCCATATTATTTCAGTTTTGAGTAATTGCGTCTATGATAGATAGTATTTAAGATAAGATAGAATTTAATGATCCCACAATGGAGAATCACTGAAATAGAAATGTGCAAACATTATTTTGGGAAAAATATATATCATTATATATATTTTATACTTAACATCAAGTGAACTAGCAGGATTAAGACAAAAGAACAAAGCTATACAACTTTTTATTTATTTATTTATTCAGCCTGAGTCCTGAATTTATAGCCCGTCAGTCCGCGTGAGCGGATCCCTCCCTCTATGCGGATCTTTTCTCATTCTCCCTTAAAAATGTTGTTAGAATGTTTCCTTGCCGATACAGGAGGGTCCACGGACAGTGGCGATGATCCAAGACACATGGCATTCAACAACATTTATGGACTTAATCAAGATTTATGGACATTGGTCATCTACATCTTAGTTGGGTTGGGCCTTGGGTTAGAGAGGGATAATCTAAGGTGTTACCCAACATGTTTACTATATAGTACGATAAGGAAGCAACCACATATTCAATAACAGAGACGCCATATCAAAGTTAAGATACAACATTTTATTATTGTCAGTCTTAAATATGAGCACACTGCATCAAGAAAAAATACGTACATGGACCAACAATCCTTTACAATGCAGGAGTCGTGTGCGCGCTGTCCCCCACCTTCACAGGTAGAAAGCGGTCCGAAGAGAGCCGTGTGAACTGGCAGCCAGGCAAAAAGGCCCTGTCAAAGTCAAAGCTCCAAAATAAACTTTGTAATCATGAGAACGCCAGAGCCAGTGATCTTGGTTTGATAAATCCCTGGCAAGAAGATCTAAGTAAAGTTCACATCGAAGGAAAAACATAAGCCCTCTTCCAGACTCCATCGCAAATCACACAAACATCACACAACATCAAAATGTGCTGTACTGTCTGGTAGGTGCAACGCTTTTCAGCCAATCAAAAGACTGCCTTCGGATATGTTTTTAAAGGGGGTAGTTGACAGTCTTTTTTCCCTCTTGTTTTAGTTAGGGAAAAATAGTTAATTTTGCAAAAACCGATGTTATTGAAAAAAATACAATTTCGAAGGCAAGTTATTTGTTCAAAAGCTAGATCTACTTTAGTGCTATACAGATACAGTTTCACCCTTTCTAGAGTAAATTCTGTCATATGTACTGTCTATAACAAATCATCTAGAGGGATACAACTTTTGGAAATTAGAATTTTTCTAAACGCGATAGAACTTTTGAAGTATTGATAAAAACCTCTATCAATCTTTGCAAATTATTATCAGTTACTCATACTCGTAACAGCTAATTATGTTTTATCTTATAAATTATAGATATTTTCAAGATAAAGATGAACACACGGAGCAGTTAGTAATACTTAGGCTTGTTATTGCAAATTTAAATACTTTTTTTAATTTAACTTTTCATCAGTTTTGGTTCAGTCCAAGCAAATCTAAAATCTAAAACTCCAGGGAAATTAATAAAATATTTTTTTTGTTTAAATACTACGTAATGTAATTTAAAAAAAATCGGACACAAATGATGAGCTGAACCCCAACTTTCCATAAAGAGTTAATATGTTGTTTTAACTGATATTTGTAATCCACAATGTTTTGATTGTATGTGACTCCTGACATCTCTAAGGTACATAAACTTTTTTTTTTTCCTCTTTCGACGGGACTGAATACAGAAGGACTTGTTTCTTTCTATTGTTTCAGCTCAATATTGAAATCTATTCCTAGATTACCATTATACATAAAAAGCAGATTCATGTTTTGTCCTTATTTTCCCCCCTTTTCTCTAGAGACAAGTATTTTTGCTTGAAAAGAAAAGTCCGACAACAGCTTTCAGATGCCAAATATAAGCCTCCACGGACCGGGACCCAGAGCTGCTTGATTGCACACAGAGAAAGTTAACAGCGTTGAGTGGAGTTTCCCAAACTTTACAGTTCGGATCAGAAAGATTGCATTTTTCCATGCGTGTGGGGTTGTCATTAAGCTGAATAGGAATTGCAGATCCCAGTTCTAAAAGTCATGCTTGGAAGGACATGGAAATATTTGCATTTTGGCTAATAAGGGCGCTACATGACACTCAAGTGCACAAAGTGGGAGCTGGGTAATAGGGGGTAGGATCGGCGGATCAGATTTGGGTGTGCACAAAAGACAAACGCTTTTTAATGATACAAATGTGTACGAAAAATGTAACTGTATTCATTATGGAACACTTGTGTATAACTTATGAACTTTTATTTCGTGTGCCCAAAGATCTGAGATTGTACGTGTCTTGTTTGTTTTGCCTTTTCAATCCAATGTAATTTGCAAAAAGAAAAACAGAAAACATTGGTCTAAGACAATGGTTTCCTCCAGACAATCTTGGTGGAAATTGGTGATGCTAATTCTAAAGAGACTGTTTTTGATATGTGTTATGAAAAATAATAACCATGGACTATACTATAGTGTCATATGGTTCTAAATATATATTATATTCCAAATTAAATACAGTTGAAGCTGCAGACATCATCTTTTAACAATAGGCTCCTTGGAATGTTGTGATGTCACAGCTTTTTTTTTTTTATTCCAGATGATGCCAGAGAGTCCAATGACAGTGGTGATGACCAATGGCACTTTTGAACTATGAACTATTTTAATCTCTGATCTATGTTGGCGAATTCAACGGTTTTGTAAAGCCCTCTGAGACAAATGTTGTTGTGATTGATGTCGCAAGAACACAACCTATTATCTGCATTTCCAATACTCCACGTCCTTGATCCAAATCATTCTAACTCAAGCGTGCTCCACGGGTTAAAACAATACTCCCACTCTCCTTCCCCTTTTGCAAATTGCATAAACAAGAAGTGCATTTATTTTGCACACGGCCCTACTCATCCCACTTATATCGACTGTTTTCTTGCAGATATGAGTCCGGTTAGCAACAGGACAGCCTGACAACCAGCTGAGAGCTTATTAGCGTCTTCTCAAACAAATGAGCCAGAACCACGGCAAATAGCCCCACACCGACCGCGGCGTTATCCCCCTAAATGAAATCTGATTGTGTTTATTTAAGCAGCTCTGCACGCCAGCGCCTCTAACCTTGAGGGCGACTGTAGCGTATTACGAACGGACAGCAGCGGCGCCAACTAATGCGAAAGGCCTCCGGGTCGGAAAACAATCCCAATAAAGATGGCGATTTGGGCGATGGAAGCGTACGGTTTGTGATTTCGTGGCACGCTGAACTTTTTTTGTGCATTTAAGAACAGCGAGTGGTGGGAAGTGGATGTTTTGTTGGGGTTTTAGCGCCTGCAGCTCGGAGAATGTAATGGAATGGGATGGCTTTGACTCTGACTTTCTTTCGCGCCTGTTTGGGTCTGTGTTGCCCTTTTATTCTTACGTATGAAAGTCCTTTCTATTCGACAACGTCATGCTTATGATTATTGAATATTGTCACCACTTCTAGATCCCTTAATGAGAAAATTTTTGGACTATAGTTGATATGTACTGTCAACAGATTGAGTGCGGATTGGCTAGGATTTCCAGAAGGTTGATCTGGATGTTTGTTTATTGTCAAAATAGATTGGATTCACCAAGGTGCTTTGATCATCAGTAGTCAACAGGGCGTTTCAAACACTTCTTCATTAAATCCATGCTGTGTTGGCTTTGTTTTGCTCCATCTATGAGAGCTGGGAGTTTGTGGTAGATGTGGATTACCTTGTTCTTGGCAAAAAAGGTCTCTATACATTCCTGGGCCACTAAAATAATGCACATTTAAGCTCTTCACAGACGGTATAGTTTTAGAATCAACATGGCTGCCCACAATCACCAAGTGTGAAAACATTTCTTTATGTACTTTCAGCCAGATCCTTAATGATAACACAACTTTTTTTTGGTTGTTATTTGACGGTCATTACTATGTTCAATACGTCTGAACTATGGGAGGACTGAAAATGCAGATAAACTCCATCATACCACATCACGATACACTCACACGCACTCACTCACTCACTCACGCACACCAGCACTCCTCGCACACTGTCCTTCACACACACAGACACTCACTCACACAGGAACTCACTCGCACACTGACTTCACACATTCTCATGCTTCATTCTATTTTATACATCTTAGTTTTATTGATCTTTGTGTTGTTGTTGTTATGAGTTTAGGTTGCTGTATAGAGAAAAGTCAAATTTTCTATCTGTGAATAATAAATTTCCATCTAATTTGCCATCAAAGATTATTTCAGAGTCATGTTTTTCTAAGTTTTGTAATGGTACACGTGTGAAGGATGTTTTGAGTTGTCACTAAAGCAGCAATAATGCATCCTAAAAGTCTCTTTCTGTTGATATGTTCCTGTTTAATACAGCTCCTTTTCCTCTGTTTTTTGCTCTGACCAGGTGTTATGGGTGTAAGTATGCTTTGTTGAATAACTCACGACGGTAAGAGGTAGAAACAAACTGTTTTTTTCAGAGTAAAGCAGAGAGGTTAAATCTTTAATTTGGTGCCCTTGTGTTTTACATCGTCTAAAAAATGCATATTCTGTTGGCATTCACTGGGCAAATCACCTGAAATTGCTGGCAGAAGGCACTTCTCAAATGAAAATTGCTGGCAGTCCGTGAGTTACTTTAATTCTAAAGTTTAGAATCAGCTCAGATAAATCCACTGAACCAAGTAAAAAAAATGACTCACAGGGCTCATTCCTAAACAATGAAAATCTATACTCAAGAGTGCAACAAAATGGTCACCGGCAGTGCAGAGCATATTTACAACGACAATTAGCAACAACAAATAAACAAGTTCATCTGACACATAGGTCACTTTAAGTTTCAAGTTACCTTCTCTGTAACCAGCGGCAGACTGTGCCAAACACGGCTCTGGCCCTCCCATTGAGCAAATAATTTTTGGTACATATTACATTGCATTACTCATTATACTCTTAAAAAAATGTACATTTAAAATTACGGACATCACATGGGCATAATTCCCATTTAACCCACCAGGAAAATGTGTCCTGGTTCGATCCTTGCGCCACGGGGTGACAGGGACCCGGTAATGTGTGTGTAAATGTGTGTGTAAATGTGTGCTTGTGCACCTTTGGCAAATTAGTTAACTGAGGGAAAAACGGACGCGAGAATGGATGTGCGTGTGGAGGTTACGTATGTGAACGAGGTAATACTGACTACAGTGTTCTCAAAGAATCACAGAAATATATATATAGTTTTAATTAACCGGAAAGTCCATTGAGATAAGAACAACTTTTTTCAAGGGAGTCCGGACAAAAAAAATTAATAAAATCAAGGGCTTCAATAGCATCTAAAGCATTCAATGAAATATGTTTCATTATAATTTCCGTCTTTTGAACATGTTCCATGAGATAGGAAGCAGCATACACAAAAGCTTTTTCCCTGTTCTGTGCAGCCCAACTAAAAAGGAATAGCGAGCAACCAAAGATCATTTGTGGCAAACCATATGAACCAACATGTCTTTGTGGGAGTAATGTCAGGATGTAAGAGGGCAGCAGACCAAGCCGTAGGCCTTTAAAAAAAAGTGCACCCGTGTCCAAACTTGTGTGGACAAAGAAGGCCATCCACTCAGATATCATTCACAGTGAGTCAAGGCTTGTGATTACCTAATGAATTGAAACCATTTTAATTGAGTCATTATTTAAGTCACGTTCTTTGTTTTTTTCCTATATATTAAGAGGAATAGTCACCGTTTTTACTACCTGGGACATATGTCTTACC